TGGTTTTGACATCTCTTCTGTTTTCATTCGGGGATCTTTTTTTCTTTTCTTTCTTTCTTTTTTTCCCCCTCGAGACAGGGTTTCTCTGTGTAGCCCTGGCTGTGCTGGATCTGGCTCTGTAGACCAGGCTGGTCTCAAACTCACAGAGATGTGCCTGGCTCTGCTTCCCAAGTGCTGGGGTTAAAGGCTTGCGTCACCCGGCTCATTTGGGGATCTTACTATTGAGACGCCTTCTCTTGAGGGTTCAGTCTCTAGAATTACTCAGAGAGGAGAAAATAAATTTCTACGACAGCAACAACCTTGCACTTTACAATATAAATAAATACACTTAAAATAAACTAAAGCCCATGAATACTCTCTAAGGACCATAAAACTGAAAGTGGCAAGACTAGAGGAGTGTACATATAAAGACCAGTGGAGGGAACATAAAAAGGTATTCAGAGTAAGTATGGAAACACCAGTTAACAGAATTAATGAAAAGAGGCAGGAAAGTGGGATAATAGAGAAACAAGTTTAAATAAAGGCAAAAATATTGGAGAAAAATGTTACAGAAGGGCAGAGGACAGGGCAAAAGATTAGGAAAAGGGAAAGAAAAATGATAAAAAAAACCCCACTTTTCTTACAATAACAAAATTAAAAAAACAAAATTAGTGAAATAAGAAATAATGAGTTTTTAAACCAACCAAGTTAAAATACTTTTAAATATATAGTAGCAGGGAAAAGAGAAGAGGAAACACAAGGGTCAAAATGGTAACATAGAGACATAAAAAATGATTGACCAATAAAAAAGTGTCAACACTCCCCATGGGAGACCTTGATTTGGGGGATGTGGGGATGGGGGTGGCTTGTGAGGGAGGCCTGGGAGATGGGAGGAGGGAGGAGGTGGGATCTGTGAGTGGTATGTAGAGTGAATAGAAAATTTCTTAATAAAGAAAAATGGAAAAAAGTGTCAACAAAAGACTCTATGCATTAGGATAAAACATAATGTTTTTAACATATTTTATTTGTTTAATTTTTTAAAAAATTTAGACTCGTGTTTGGTTTTATATGTATGGATGTTTAGTGTGTACGTGTGTGTGTGTGTGTGTGTGTGTGTGTGTGTGTGTGTGTGTGTGTGTACCACATGGGAACCTGGTGCCGGAGGAGGCCAGAAAAGGGTGTGGAATCCCCTGAAACTGCAGTCACAGATGGCTGTGAGCCACCATGTGGATGCTGGGGACTGAAACTGGGTCCTCTGCAAATGCAAGGAAGTGGCTGCTAAACCGGGAGCCAGTCCTCCAGACCCTGCAACGTTTTTAAATTCATAAAATAAGGGTACCGCTAAAAGATAAAAAGAGAAACACAAGAAGGGGGGTGGATGGAACGCTAGAGCAGTTCCTTCTAGGCCCTGGGGTTGCTCATGGCAGTCACATGCCTGAGTATCTGTTAATGGAACTTCCTATGCTGACTTCACATTGGGCAAATGTCTCATGCTGCCCAGAGCTGTCTTCTTCTTGGTACTTGCCCTTCTCTGTGTACCAGAGGCCTCTGCTGGCCTTACTCAGCCTTGCAGTCTGTAGGATGAGCAGGTTCTCTCAGATCTGTACAGGTGGAGGGCCTGTCTTTGTTATTTCCAGACTTCCTAAGCATTATTATGCTGTTGATGTCACAGGACACAACTGTGTGTGTCCAGGAGAAGGTTGGAGCTTCAGAGTTCTCAAGTTGTACAGCAGACAGATGACTCCAGGGATGATCTGCCTGCTGATCTCTGGCTCAGGCCCATCAAACTCCAGGACTATTTTCTGGTCTGAGCCATTAGGAGTGAAGCTATCCCCTCCTCTAGACTTGAGTATCCGGGCTGATCCTCCTGCTGCCTGCATTTGGTTTTGGTGTGTCAGTGACTTTTTATCTGTACTCTGGTGAGTGTGCAAAGCCTTTATTCTCTCTCTTGAGAATAGAGCTTATTTTTTTCATATTCTGACTCTTCTTCACCAAGTCACATAAATGTAGTTTCTAGTTCACAGTCTAATCTCACCTGGAAGCTCCCACGCTCAGGTCCTTTAATTTCTTTTGTTTTTGTTTTCGTGGTTTTGTTGACATGAAAATATGATATACTGAGTGAATGGAGCTCTAGTAAACGGCCTTTATTGGTATGCTGGTGGGATGCGGGGAGGAAGGTGCTCTATGAGCCTGGATTTGGTCTTAGGCTTCCCGCTGTGAACGTCTCCCATGTTTCCCATCCCTTACGCATGCTCACCGTAGTTATTGCAGGACAGGAGGAGAGGGCTGGAGTTGGATACTTTCCTTTCGTCAGGTTGGCAAGGACCCCAGAAGAATGGCCTGTAGTAAGATACTTTTCCTAGTGGAAAAGCTTATGAAGAAGAAAATGCTCTGGCTACACCTAACGTGCTTGTATCCAGCCCTCCTTCTTGCTCTCCTATGCCGGCTTGCCTGAGAATGCCCCCTTCTATGCTAAATGAGCTTGAATACTTGGTCTCTAGGTGGTGGTTTAGGAGGTGTGGTCTTGTTGGAGGAGGTGTGTCAACAGGGATAGTGGGTGGACTTCGAAGTTTCAAAAGACCTATGCCCTTGCCATTTCAAGTTTGTGCTCTCTACCTCTTGTTTGTGGTTTGAGGTGTGTATACCACACCATTATGGATTCTAACTATCTGGTAACAAGCTCATTTAAATTCTTTCTTTTACAAGTTGCCTTGGTCATGGTGTTTTATCACAGCAATAGAAAAGTAACTGATACAATTCCCTATTTCCCCACTTCTCTAGTTAGAACCACAGGGAGATACTTCTCTGATGGTCATTGTGAGGACTTGGTAGAAGTCCTAGAGCTCCTCAGCTATTGGTCCACAGTTCATGCGTTTCCACTAGTCTGGCTAGTTGTCTCTGTACTTTTTCCAGTCATGGTCTCGATATCCTTTGCTAATAGAATCCCTCCTCTCTCTCATCGATTGGACTCCTGGAACTCTGCCTGGGACCCAGTACTGGACTAGGCCCTCTGGATAATCGAGACAGTTGTTTAGCTTGAAATGTATAGGGGGCCCCCAGGCAGTGGGATCCAGACCTGTCTCCCGTGCATGAGCCGGCTTTCTGGAACCTAGTGCCTATGGTGAGACACTTTGCGCAGCCTTGGTGCAGGAAGGAGGGGCTTGGATCTGCCTCAACTGAATGTGCCAGGCTCTGCTGACTCCCCATGAAAGAGCTTGCCTTGGAGGAGGTGGGAATGGGGGGTGGGCTGGTGGTAAGGCTGGGGGGACAGGGGGAGGGAGGACAGGGTAATCTGTGGTTGGTATGTAAAATGAATAGAAAATCTCTTAATAAAAAATTATTTAAAAAAGTCCTAGAGCAAAACTCATGACCTCTTTAGAGCTCTTATGATTCTGTTTCCTAAGGTTTTAATTTTTTGTTGTTAATAAGAAAATAATTACTGCTTTCTGTTTGTATGAAATATACTTTGAAGTCTGACGCTCCCCTGCCTGAGTTATTTTGGCCAGCTTAAACAACTTTTATCACCTTCATGTATGTGAGAACACACACAAGTAGACAAAAGGGATTTTTATCAAACTAAGGAGCCTCTGAATAGCAAAAAGAATACTCACAGAATGAAAAGACAACTGGAAGAGTGGGAAAAATATTTAAAAATTACTCATCCAACAGAAGATTTATATCCAAAATATATGAGGAACAACAATAAAAAAAATCTAGCTAAAAAACCTAGGATATTGCCGGGCGATGGTGGCGCACGCCTTTAATCCCAGCACTCGGGAGGCAGAGGCAGGCGGATCTCTGTGAGTTCGAGGCCAGCCTGGTCTACCAACTGAGTTCCAGGAGAGGCGCAAAGCTACGCAAGAGAAACCCTGTCTCGAAAAACCAAAGGAAAAAAAAAAAACCTAGGATATCAATAGATACTTCTTAGAAGACAGGCAAATGGCCTACAAACATATGACAAGAGCTCACTATTACTAACTACCAGGGGAATGTAAGTCAAAATGACAATGAGGTATCACACCCCAGGTAGAATGGTTATTATTGCAAAGATAAAGCAACAGTAAATGTCAGTGGGGATGCAGAGAAATAGGAACTTTGTGCACTGGTGGTGGTTTTGAAACCAGTACAGAGGGTCTTAAAAAAACCTGAAAGTAAGAACTCCCCTCTCACACAGCTACCCCACTAGCAGGTTTATACCCAAGGGAAATGAAGTCAACATAGCAAAGGACCACTCTCACTCTTACATTTACTGTGGGACTGTTCACAATCACTCAAATATGGAACCAACCAAGGTGTCTATTGGTGGATGAATGGGTAAAGATTAGGTGGTATGTACACATAATGGAAAACAATTCAGCCATAGGATGAAATTTGCAGAAGCATAGATGGACCTGGAAGGCATTATGTTAAAAGTAATGAGCTAAGTGCGAAAAGGCAAAAACCCCTGGAGTGTTTAACTTTCAGATTTGTTCATCCAGAGTCTCTAGCAAGCTACCAATTACAGTTGAGGTGTCCCCCCACCAACACTGGTTCCCACGGGGTTTCACCTACTGTAGATTGTATTCTCTGTGTCTGTCTAACTGTTTCTTCAATTTGGAGTACAGCAGTTTGCCCTGTGATCCCACTTCTTTGACAGATCTAAGAATGCTTGTTAATATTTCACTTAGTTTAGACTTTTGCTTATCATTAGAAGTAGTGACAAGTTTTAAACAACACTCCACTCATTTTCAATGATATTAAAAAATCTAGTGTTTTTTTTTTCTTGTGCATATGCTATGTATGGCCTATGAGAGAAAATCAGCAAAACATGGGTTACATGGTTACTTGTGACAAGGTCACACACATGACCATAAGAGAGAAAAGCAGTTCTACACAGAAGGCAGTTGATTTAAATAATGAGTGAAATGATAAGCTGCAAGAGTGCCACTGTAGGACCAAAGATTGAGTGTCACTTGAGGGGTTCTATTACAGTGCCACCACATTCCAGTGTTCTCCATAAGCAAAGCTGTGTCCTTCATTACCTGGATGGCATCGGTGGCAATGATGATGGCGACACTAAATCAACTCTTGCCGACTGCTTTCTTTGTAACAGGTGCTTACTCTGGACCAGGTACAAGAGGTCTTCCACAGTTTAAAATATTTTTCCTTCTCCCCAATCCTGTAAAGATAGAAGAAGTTCTTTTCTTACTGATGAGATTAGCACAGAATTTGCCCCAGAGATACAGGCAAATTATCCAAGCTAGTCTAGATGGGAAGTGGCAAGTGTGTGCTTCTCCTTTCATTCTGTTGTAAATCAGAGTCTGAAGTCCTGCTCACTGTGGTAGAGCTAGAGACTGAAAATGAAAAGGACTCAAGAAACATGAATATATTTGGATGCATAAAATTAATTGCCACTGGCAAAGTTGGAGAAAATAATAGAAAATTATTGTATTTCCAGGTCTACTAAAATTATTTGTTTTATATAGACCATCACAATGAACTTTTTAAATTTTATGAACTTTATTAATACACTTTGCAAATAAATAAAAAATACCACACAGCAAAGTTAACCAGACTTTATGTCTATACAACTCAGTAAACTTCTGTACAATTAGAATGGGTACTCAGGATGGAAGCTGTGGAACTTTACATTAAATTTTACATTTTCAGTTGAATATATTTTATGGACTCATCTATTACCAAAACAAACAAACAAAAAATCCAGACAGAATTAGAACCAGAAAGCTTATTATCTTTGTATTATCATTCATAACTTGTATCCATTACCTGCCTTCAGTCCTTTCTCATCTCCTTGTATTTAGCCTTTCTTATTCTATTTTAAGTTATAATATACTCACATGTACATTTGTTTACACATATACAATTATTAGTTACATTTTGTGTATTGGCGAGAACGTGGGTTTTTTTCCTTCTAAAAATGTGTGACCTTTCTCAATATTATGGATTTTAAGTTCATCCATTTTCTTGCAAATTTTCAACTTCATATTTTAGAGTTGATTAGCATTTTATTTTAACATATACCGGAGTTTACTTATCCATTCTTCTGGTGATCAACAACTAGGTTGATTCCAATTCTTTGCCATAGTGAACAAAGCAGCACCAAAATGCTTAATTCAAATGAAAAATAAACTTAACAAACTTAAAACTTTGCTATAACAATAAACCCAATAAAATTTGTATACTAATACTTCATAACTAAACTGATTAAAACCAAAGTCAAAGAAAAAGACTAGATATTAAAATCAGTCAAAGTTTCCCACTGCAATATATAAGAGAGAAGGGGGGCAGGGAGAGATTCTTCAATGAAGAAAACCGAGTATTTCTACTCAGAGAGAATTATTAGGGAAGTTCTTCTCTGGGGCTGGCAAGCAGGTTCAAAAAATGGAGGTACTTGTCACCAAGCTTGATGAAGAGTTTGATCCTGGAACCCACATGGTAGAGGGAGAGAATCTACTCCCCAAAGTTGTCTTGTGACCATCCCCAACATGACACATTTGAGTACCACCCCACACACAGCACATATGTGTAACACCCAGCCACACACAATAAGTAAGTAAATAAATAAATACAATTAAAATAGTTACACACACACACACACACACACACACACACACACACACACACACAAATAACCTGAACAATCAGAAGAAAGAATGTTACATAGGGAATGGAAAGGAGATGATAAATAATACATATTTAGATTCACACAACAAACTATAGACCATTTTACTCTTGGATTAAAAGATAGGTTTGTGATTGATAGGAAATAGCATTATTTGCAGGTTTTCAGTGAAAAATGTATTGGAAAAGACAACTATCATAAGTAGGGAGGGAGGTTCAAGGGCTCTCCGTAGTGGCTAAGGTTTCTGAGCGCCACTTTGTCTAAGATATTGACTGCAGGTTATATTTGAAGTTGTGTTTGTATTTGTGATTCCTAAGGCAAGAACTGACAGGTTAGTACAAATTGATATTGTCAAAATATGATGGATTACAGTGGACACTAAAATAAATCTGCATAACCCTAAAGCAGAAAGAAAAGGCGGGTCAGAGGGACAATCACAATCACCACCACCACAACAACAACTGGAACAATAAAACAGATCATAAAATCAGGTACCTAAAGACAGCAGCAACCACACATGCAAATAGTCTAACCATGAGAACTACAATATTAACAGAAAAACTGGATCAGATCTATGTTTTCTTTCAGAAATTCACTTAACGTGTAATACAGGTAGATTAAAAGTAAAGGGAATAAGGAATTATAAGTCCTTGAAAGAGGACCGACAGAGTGGCCGAATTAGCACCACACAAGGCAATTTGCATAGCAAACAGGAGTCATCCATAAAGACCTGTGTTACATGGTAACAACCAACTCATCAAAGACACAGGAGAAACCTAAATATAGTTTAAAATTATGTAAGAATGTTGTAATATGGATTAAAAATACTGAAAGAAATTGGATCTACCTATGCATCTACATAACTATTTATATAATCTTCTAGGTATCTATTTATCTATCATCTATTTGTCGTTGATCTATCTGTATATCATCCATCATTGTTTGATCAGTCCAATAAGTACACTAATAAAATAATAACGAAGACATATAAACAGAGTTTAGAGGAAGTTAATTGAGTCATTTGTAGATATGATATTTGTGAGTTAGGGCTTTATCAATGACACTGTTTTCTTAGACTTTATTTTATTTTACTCTCTGGTTCACATTTTTATTTTTTTCTTTTATTTTCAAGATTATAGTATAATTACATTACTTCTATCTTCCATTTCCTCTCTCCAACCCTCTCAAATACCCCTCCTTGCTCCCTTTTAGACTCATGGCCCCTTTTTTCATTAATTGTTACATGCACACATTTTCTTTGCGTAAAAGGGTAGAGTTACTAATTTGTTATTATTTATAATATAATGGCAGTTGGGTATAGAATCTCACTACATTCTTTTTTTGAAAACCAAAAATGTTATAGATTTTAAACTGTTGCCTGGTTATAATTTTCAGAGTATGATTAAGCAAATGCATTAGTAGTGATTTCACATTTCTTTGTTCCTTTTAAAAAAGTGGAAGGTTGGCCATGCATCTGACTTCAAAGTCTACATGGCAACCTCTTGGCCATCGTTCACATCTACTTCTAGGAATACTACATTGGAACACTTTTCACAGAGGGGATGAAAGAAGGCTTGGCCATTCTACAAGGTCCACACCATGTGACTAAGAGGTCCACCACTACAGCCTTACCTCGTGCGCAGTCCAGGGACTCCTGAGAGCATTCTTGTTCTTTCTCAGCTCCACTGTTTTGGCTGTTTCAGAGAAGTACCTGACAAATGACTGCAGGAACCAATGAGAATGGACCCAAGATGCCAAATATGGCTTTCTTACAGACTCTAATAAACATAATTGCTGGACTATTAAGTCACAAGAGGAAAAAGAAACCATTGCCGTGGTAGATTACTACTTACTTGTGGTTTTAGCCATATCTAAATTGAACTACTGTTACACACAGTGTTTGGTTCTCAAAGATGTTAATGACTTTTGTATGCATTCTAGCTTTTGATTCTCAACTTAATTTGCCAGACAAAATAATGTGATTTTAAAAAGTTAGAATTTCCCAAAGTTCTGACTTTTTCATAGACCTTGAAAAATCATAAAACCCGAGAGAAAACTGAAACTCCAAAGCATTTTGTATGCATACTACCTGACCTCCACAAACTGTTTTACAATTTTAGATATCCATTTTGAAACACAAATTAACCTGAGTACTGCTTTCAAAGCATGCTTTGGGTACTGATGAAATTAGGCAACTACAGGTTGAGTTATGACGTGGCGAAATAGAAAAGCTTCAAAGTTAGGACTGAGCTAATGTTCTGACGGAGTCCTAAGACTAACAAATAGCCGGACAGACCACCTCACTTTATTCAAACACACATTTCTCACAGAGAAAACTTCTTGCAGTCAGGCCAAGAGAGCACACAGAGAGAAAACACAACCGAAAGATGAGAAATTGAAAATAGGCTCACAGAAGGCAATAAAAAGGGGAGGAGTGCTAGCCTTCCAAAGCAAGTCTATTGTTCTAACCCTAGAAGATCATAAATCTGGGTTCCGCCTCTCATAGACCCAGAGGGTCAAGGAAATCTAAGTCTTCTTTGGGATATTAGATCCTGTGAAGCAACCTAAATTGCCAGGCAACACATAAGTAACCGAATAATTGGACCAGTCACCCTTCAACATTAATAGATTAGTTAATGTCTCCTCTTGAAATAGTGCAACTCAAAGTGACAGTTCCCTCCCTGGAAGTAACATGAAGATGATGAGGAACCCACTAGGTCTGTGCAGCTTCGTTCTCATCAAAGACAAACTCTCATTCACATGAATGCTCTGAGTAATTCATGGAAGGATCAATCTCATGCTAAACTATGGATGAAAACACGAAATTAAAATCCATGGGATTGTTTGCTTTTCAAATTGTCTTTGAAGTTTTAAAATATATTAACCACAAGCATCACAGAACAAGTGTTAGCTACCTTGTGATTACCACGGGGAAATGAAGGGAAACAAACCTGCCAGAATTCTAAAAGACTAAAACACTAAAAATAGGAATAAAGGAGCAAAGAGATCCCTTTTCTTGGTTTAAATTTCAGTGAAAAGACCAGAACAAAAAGACATTTTCAGTATTATATCACAGTACTTAGCTGGCTAATTATTAGTGGAAGCTTTTCTTGGGAGCAAAGATCATTAGCCTAGAAAGAATAGATGGAAAATAAGTCTTAAGTATGGTTCATGTATGCATTTAGATGGGGAAAACTATTAAAAATTAACTAAGCAGGGCTGGAGAGGACTTAGTTGATAGGAGAGCTTGCTGCTTTTATAGAGGACCCAAACTTGACTCCCAGCACCTACATCAGGGGACACAAAACCACCTGTAACCCCAGCTCCAGAGAGTTCAACATCCTCTTCTGGCCTCACCCCAAATTATAAATAAAAGAAATATTTAGTAATATTAACTAAGCCTTAAGTGAGACACTTTTGACCTATAAGACATGTCATATTTATTATTGTATAGGTTTTCAAACATAAAAACACTATTATCCAGGCCCAGGCATACACAAGGAACCACAGCTCTGCACCATGCCTCTTGGCTTGGGATGGCAGAAATCAACCACAAGCCACCTGGTACAGCTAGGCCTGGGTACAGGTGAGGAGGACAGTCGTGCACCATTATGGTGAGCAAGTACAAAGTGGGGAAATGGGAGAGACATCCAGGCCCGGGTTGCTGCCTAGGACCATGTCTGGGTCTGTGGTCCCACCACAGTCTGAGTCTCTGTTGATGTCTGTCTGTGGCCCTTGTTGCCCTGAAAGGCCACATGGATGCTCAGGATCTGGGCTGCCACCTGGGGCTATGTTGATGTCCAAGGGCTGTGTTGCTCCTAGGCCCCTACTGACCATAGTTACAAGTATTGCCAGCTGAGCCCATAGTGTTGTCTGGGTCTGGGCTGTGGCCAAGTGCCATGTTTGGGTTCATGGCCCTCCTGCAGCCCCAGTCTGTGTTGATATCCATGGCTCCTGTTACCACCAAAGGTAGTAAGGATAGGAATGCAGAAAGTTAGTTCCTGCCCCTCACCAGCTGCAGCACCAGGGAGAGTGGGTCCTGAACCTCACCCAGGCAACACAACAAAGCTGACCCTGTTGGTGGGCCAGTAGGGTGTGTGTGTATGTGTGTGTGTGTGTGTGTGTGTGTGTGTGTATGTGTGTGTGTGAGGGGATTCGGGGTGCACAAGTGAACAGGCCCTAAGGGCATGAGAACGGGAGAGCTGACATGCCCTCTTCATCTGCCATGTGGTGGCAAGGGTAGGGGAAAGAAGTCTCCCTCCCTCTCCCCTTGCTTCCTGTGGTAGGCAGGATAGCTGGCTGTAGCTAGAGTTTTCCTGCCTTGCCCACAGTCAGGACAAATCTTTGTCACCTGCCAGTCCCACAGCCGCTCAGACCCAACCAAGTAAACACAGAGACTTATATTGCATACAAACTATATGGCCATGGCAGGCTTCTTGCTAACTGTTCTTATAGCTTAAATTAATCCGTTTCCATAAATATATACCTTGCCACGTGGCTGGTGGCTTACCGGTGTCTTCACATGCTGCTGGTCATGGCGGCGGCTGGCAGTGTCTCTCTGCCTCAGCCTTCCGCTTCCCAGAATTCTCCTCTCTCCTTGTCCCACCTACTTCCTGCCTGGCCACTGGCCAATCAGTGTTTTATTTATTGACCAATCAGAGCAATTTGACATACAGACCATCCCACAGCAGCTGGCCCCAGGGTTCATGAGAGTGGGAGAGCTATCTCTGCCCCTCACCAACTGCAGCACACAGGAGAGCAGGCCCTGTACCTCACCTGAACAGCACACTAGAGCTGACCCTGTTGGTTGGGGACACAGGTAGACTGGCCCTGAGGGTGTGAGAGCTGGAGAGCTGATCCTGCCCTCCACTCCCTTATGCCCCCTACAACAATTGGGATAGTGGGCCCTACACCTCCCCTGGGCAAAACAGTAGAGTTGGCCCAGGTGGTGTGAATGCAGGTGACTTCGACCGAGGGCCTGAGAACAGAAGAACTGGATCTGCTCCATGCTGCCTGATGTATTGGGTGAGCCAGCAAGGGCAGTGCTGGAAAGCTTGTCCTGCTAGAGAAGATGAGGGAAAGCTGGCAGGATGACCAGCCCAGCTACCATCCAGGCCTAGAATCAGGGTTATGAGTTAGCCCATCCCAACATCCACCTCATCTCTGATCTGATGGAGCATGCGAAGGCATTGGATCTGCAGATCCAAAACTGCAGGATCTCCATTACACAGGACAACAGGCTATTCAAGAGGAGTCACAGTGAGGGCCCATTATCGATAGTGTAGTAGAAGCCAGAGGCCTCAAACTAGACTAATGAGTTATAGCAATGAACATTTACAAGTAAAGAAAAATGTATAGACTAAAGAGTATACTACGTGACTCAATGGGCCACATTACAGCTTCTGTACGAGATTCTTTTTTCTTTATTTTGCTTGGTTGGTTGTTTTTTGGTTTTTCTTTTCAATTTTATTTTGTTTTGGAGGAAAGTTTGCAAGTGCACAGGGCAGATTTGAGGGGATGTGGAGATGAGTGGGATAGGGATGCATGATATGAAATTCACGAAGAATCAATAAAAATAATCAATTAAATAAATACTATTGTCCAGTCAAAAAGTTCTATTTAAGATTTTCACTAATTATAACAAACAAGGTTGATGAAATAAGTGAATTACTACTTCCATTTCCAAGAATTCTCTTTGTAAACAAATAGACATTTCTAGTAGTATATCAAGGTAGTTTGTAGTATAGTTACTAGCTCTTCTTGAGTACAAATATGAGCACATTCTGTCAATTGTGAGTATGGATACTATCCTGTACTGAGGAGAGAAAGTACTTCTTTTGCCATCTTGACTACAACTCTGTTGGCAACCCTGTAAGAGTGCTTGTGCCATAAGCTAAAAGTGGTATTGCTCAAGCAGTTGGATTTTCTGGATCTTATTTTGGCAATCTCAGCTCTTGGGTTTTTACTTTTGGGGTTCATAACATCATGTGATTGGGTGTAACCTTTAGGATAGTTTGGTATTTTGTGTAGGAAAAGCACAAGCAGGTTCACTATGTTTCCGTTCCTCCTTTTTGGAATGGTGATGTATATTCTGCATTATTGTGTGTTCAAAATATGTGGTCTGCTTTTTGATTTTAATTTTACAGGGGTTACAGTTAAGAGATGATCTTGACCTTTGGACTTTTAAACAGTGTTGAGAATGTGATAGAGTATGAGGACTTTTGAAGTTGAACTGAATGCATTTTTGCATTATGATATGCCCATGAGCCTATGGGGGCCAGGGAATGGGATGTGATTTGAACAAGAAAGGCTCATATATTTGAATACTTAATCATCAGCAAGTGGCACTACTCGAGAAGAATTAGGAGTTGTGGCCTTATTGGAATAGGCATGGCCTTGTTAGAGGAAGTGTGTCATTGGGTTGGGCTCTTGGGGTTTCAAAGGCTCAAGCCAGGCTCAGTGTCTCTCTCTTCCCGCTGCCTAAAGATCTGGGTGTAGAACTCTCAGTTACTTCTCCAGCACCATGTCTGCCTGTGTGCTGCCATGCTCTCTGCCTGGAGGATAATGGACTAAACTTCTGAAACTGCAAGCAAGTCCCCAGTTAAATGGTTTCTTTTATAAGAGTTGCTTTAGGCCATGGTGTCTCTTCACAGCAATAGAGCACTGACTAAGACACAGGTCAATATTAATTGTCTGCGAAACATTCTTGGTACTTAGTCTACCATCATTTTATTGATTTCTAAAATTTAGTACACACTTTTCTATTCTGGACTAAGATGTATAAGCATCTTATTGAAGAGTGGGCTCCTTCAGGGCACAGGTAATGTTTTATTATAGCTGCATTTTCCCTATGCCAAGTATACTGTATGCCTAGCGAGCACAGAGAACAAGATGAGTAACTGCTCCAAGCTTGTGAGATGCTGGAAAGTATCTACAAAAAGTGTAACAAGTTTCTTTGGAGACCTATAAAATATCTGAATGAGTTGAAGTTTCTTTGTAATTCTTTTTAAAAATGGTGAAATATCATAACTTTTTATTGTAATTCTATCATTTCGTTATGTGTAGGCATTCCTGTCAAATATGTAATAGGTACATCCATGTACATGGGTAGACAAACATGGATGTAAGGATAAATTAAAGTATAATAAAAAGGTTTTCATATCTTCATAAATTCCATATAAAATTAACAAACCAGATTATATTTGATTAAAAAAACAAAACACACAAAACAAACAAAAGCAAAATTGACATTCTAGATTTGGAAAGGGAAGTTCTCTCGATGAATAAGGCCCCATCTTGTCTAAATGAGTTTATGTTAATGCTGTGTCTAAGAAGACACTACAGGAGCAATACTGAATTAGATTTTAAAAATCGTGTTCTAGTCTGATAGCTCTACTAAGAAATCTAAAAAGTGAGGATTTTGTTCTGCTAAACTAGGACAATTTTATAAAGAAATGGAATGAAGAGTAATCATACCTCAAATGTTTCATAAGATTATGGACATGAAAATCAGGTTGCATTCAGATGAAAATGCCAGAAATAATGGACTTAACCTACTTCATGTTTATTTTAAAAAGGGTTGAAAATGAGTCATCATATAATAATTTTGTTAATATCATGTGTCACCAAGATAACATTTAAAGAATCTCCATGTTCTGACATCTCTAAGTGTGAAGATGAGCCTGATCAAACAAACGAACAATAGCATTGTAGGCATCATCCCTGAGCTATAGAATTTTCCAGAATAAATGAGGAAAACAAATATAGAAAAGGAGGAATTTCAATAAACAGCAGTAGGTCTTTCATTGTATCCTGTTGAAAGATAACAGTACCTATTCATTAATAAAATGAGAAAAGATATTGGTGAAAGGCATTGGTAGCTATGCTGAGACACCCAGGCTTCTAATTTTTCAAGGGTAACGCAGGATGGCAGAAACTCATGACTCGACTAAGAAAATCTAGAAGAAGGTAGATGATGTAAATAAAGTGACACAGCTGAAATTTCCTCTAGTGCTATAATTAATCATCCAGAAATAACATTCTGGGATGAGATTGAAACAAGATAGGTGATGAAAAAACATCAAAGTTACTTCTGGCTACTATAGGTAAACAGAGACGTTTCAAACAAAGTGTTTTCAGAATTATGAAGACTAAAGACTTCACCTCAAGTAGTTATCACATCCTGCACCAGCCACCCTTTTCCCTCAGCAATTGGTAACAGAACTGCGACCTGTAAAGTCAAGTCCGTGTTCTCTTCTGGTGACAGCCATTGTTCATCTTCCAGACTACTCTGACTGTGCCCTGTCTATATCCAACATGTACCTCCATCCCATACATAATGCCATCCTCTTAATGTCCTGTGCATGCTCATGCCCTTTTTTCTTCCAACTTGACATAAATTTTATGGCCAGTTCTTTTTTTTATTTTATTTATTTTATTTTATTTTATTTTATTTTATTTTTTTTTTTTTTTTTGGTTTTTCGAGACAGGGTTTCTCTGTGTAGCTTTGTGCCTTTCCTGGAACTCACTTGGTAGCCCAGGCTGGCCTCGAACTCACAGAGATCCGCCTGGCTCTGCCTCCCGAGTGCTGGGATTAAAGGCGTGCGCCACCACCGCCCGGCCTATTTTATTTTATTTTACAATACCATTCAGTTCTACATATCATCCACGGGTTCCCCTATTCTCCCCCCTCCCACTCCCTCCCCTTACCCCCAGCCCACCCCCCATTCCCACCTCCTCCAGTGCAAATCCTCCCCCAGGACTGTGATCAACCTGGTAGACTCAGTCTGGGCAGGTCCAGTCCCTTCCTCCCAGACTGAGCCAAGTGTCCCTGCATAAGCTCCAGGTTTCAAACAGCCAACTCATGCAATGAGCACAGGACTTGGTCCCACTGCCTAGTTGCCTCCCAAACTAATCAAGCCAATCAACTGTCTCACCTATTCAGAGGGCCTGATCCAGCTGGGGGCCCCTCAGCCTTTGGTTCATAGTTCATGTGTTTCCATTCATTTGGCTATTTTTTTTTCAATAATTGAGTAAAACCGAAATTTATTATAAGCCACAGTCGTCCTAGAGACCTCCATGCTATATATATAGCCTCCATGGTTCTATGGGTTTTGGTCTGATTGTTCTTTATTTTATATCTAGAATCCACTTATGAGTGAGTACATAGCATGACTGTCTTTCTGGGTTTGGGTTACCTCACTCAGGATGATTTTTTCTAGTTCCATCCATTTGCCTGCAAATTTCATGCTGTAAAGTCAAGTCCGTGTTCTCTTCTGGTGACAGCCATTGTTCGTCTTCCAGACTACTCTGACTGTGCCCTGTCTATATCCAACCTATACCTCCATCCCATGCATAATGCCATCCTCTTAATGTCCTGTGCATGCTTGTGCCCTTTTTCCTTCCAACTTGACATAAATTGTATGGCCAGTTCTTATGCTGAGTTCCTTGATCACCTGTTTTTGGTGAGGCTGTATCCACTTTCCAAAATGAAATTGTTAAGGAATCCAGCCCTGCTGCTTTGGCTTGGATATGGTTTGAGGTTTTCC